CTAACCAAAAAGAATTAGACCAGCAACCTGAACACTAGTAAATGAATTTTATGCAGGTAAGTTAATATTTCAGCACATCAACAGCAACGTATTAGGCCCAGAATGCCTCTTAACAGCAAAATGGGTAAAATGGTCAATGGTAGGTAAAATACATTAGACTACATGAATTAACATTGTAAATACAATTGGTGATCCACAATTGCTTTAACTCTACACAACAGCTTTAGGGAACACACAACAGGAATGAATAATCCTCAAGGGCAAAATGGTCCAGACCTGAACCAAAAATAAAAAACCTCCAAAGTATGCTTTATAGGAAGGAGCTTTCTATAAGGCTTTAAAATGTTGCATCAACAACAATGAATTTGACCCGAACTGAACAAGACACGTAAGAAGAACCGAAGGACCATCTATGTATTTAAGTAGGAATCAGAAACCAATCTAAATCAGAATTATGTACTTGTAGATTGATTTATCAATTGAATGATATTTAAATGCATAAATTCCAATATTCATTAATTCAGATAGAACAAACCAACAAAATCAGCATAAAAAAACATAAAGTAGAAGCAACAATGGTGGATGTTAATGGTCGATTTTAATTCATGGCATATAATCCAAAATTAAAGAACAATTGCAGATCGATTGATAGAGAAAGGGACATACCTATTTTCTCGATAGAAGAAGAAGCGATGACATCGATGGAAGTAGGAAGCGATGGCAACGACGATGATGGAGGATTTTCGATGGTGGTGGCAACGATGGAAGAAGGAAGCGATGGCGATGGCAACAAGGATGATGATTTTCGTCACTGAGAAGGGGAGCGATTTGGCTAAAGATCGGAGGAGATGGACGAGGGGTAAGCTTGGGAAGTTTCTCAGTCAGCAACTTTTTGTGAAGGTCTCGGTCAGATGGAAAAGTACACGGTCAGATGGAAAGATGTGCAAATCAAACGGGCTGGATCGGACTGGGTCAGACAAAATGCCTGACCTGACCCAGTCAGACCTAAATCAAACAGAACCGAAGTGTGATTTGCTAAAAATGAGTAAAATATGCTACAACAAAGTTGGTTATAAATTGAGAAAAACTTCCTTATAAATAACATTGGAAGTTTTATTTTGTGAGTCTACCATCTTTATCTAAAATTAATAATTTCAATCCCTCTCTGGTTTGAACTTTAGATAACGCAACATACAATTGTCCATGTGAAAAAACCGGATCTTTGAGAAACAAACAAACCTTCGATAACGATTGTCCTTGACTCTTATTAATAGTCATTGCAAAACATATGGCCAAAGGAAACTGTCTTCTTGTGAATTTGAAGGGAATTTTTTTTCTGATGGACTTAAAGACATTCTTGGAATAATAGTCTGGTTTCCAATATTAGTTCTAGATATTATACGTGCCTCAGTAACACGTTTGCCCAATGATATCACTTGTAGTCTTGTGCCATTACATAAGCCGTTTTTCTGATCAATATTTCTCAGTAACATTACTGGAACACCAATTTTTAAAACTAACTTATGATTTGTAGACGACAGAGATATTAAGAACATTTATTTAATACATTAGGCGAGTATAAATTTGCATCAAACTGATCATGGACAAATTCGGATCGATATAGGCTATCTGAACTTAAATATTCAACCTCATCTCCTGGAAACTTGTTAAGCAAACGGTCGTTTATTTCCTGAAAAACTTCATTCTTTGGAGCAAGTATAGATCTTTCTTGGAAATAATTTGTACTGTTATACTTCTCCAAAATTGAAGGATATACAAACTCAATTAATGAACCTATAGGATCATTTGGATCATCAATGAGAATATCATCCGGAATATCGATAATCGTTTCGCCATCGTTCGGACCACCGAGTTTTCCTTCTCCTATATCCAATAACCAATTTGCAAAATCTCTTATTTTTTCTATATCATATTGATCACTTCCAACAGTTAGCCTCATGTTTTTTGTTAATCTATACACTTTGCAATGTTGCCATAAATATGAAGAACTCAAAGAAGCGTTAACAATGTTTTGTCTACGTTAACAATGTTTTGTTAATCTATACACTTTAAGTATTTTTGTTATGGATTAGCAAAAACAATACAATAAAATTATGTAATTTGTTTAAATGTTTTATTAGAATGCACATAAAAAATAAGAATGAATTTATTAATGTATTATTTTTTTATAAAAAATAAGTCAATTGAAAAAATTTTACATTTATAAATAATGTAAAATCAATATTTGATATTTGTTTATATTGTGTAATTGTGAATATAATTAAAAATATTAAACTTAATAATTTATAATTAATTACTTTTAATGAATAATACACCATATGAAATGCGAAACATATTTTGGCCTTACAACCTGGAGGGAAATCGAAGTTACAGGATACGAAGAGGAGAATGAACACTAACCCTAAACATGATTTCAACACAAAAACAGAAATCGAAGAGGAATTAATCACATTTCAGAGGTAAACACTACCTGGTGGTAAGTGATGGCTTTTGCGATTCACTGATTAATCACATTTCAAGCAACCACCGTCAAACATCCATTTGTATACATATCGATCAACCAGAGAAAAATATGCGATAGTGTTATGTATTTTTCTTCAGTCCAAGTGTGTTACCATCTATTTTTCTCGCTTCCCAATATCTACCTGACTCTCCTCGTAACCCTAGCTCGGACTCCCTCTCTCGCTTACTGTTTCCATTTTTTGTTGTCCTAGAATCTACCTTCGTGTTTATTGAATGAGATTATACAATTTGTTTATTGGATACATAATAATTGTTTGGTCAAACGGTTATAGCATTACTACTTTTTCTCAATTTCAATCGATTCTAACGTAAACCCTAAAATATCCATACTCATACGCCTATGTTCTTCTTTCTCACATCATGTATAATTTTTTTTTAATTTTTGTACTGATATTATTCTGCAAGTGTGTATTATGTTTGACAGATGTCCTGTTTTAAAAAGTCAATGCTCAATTATTTATTCCTTCATTCTCTTGTGTTGGAATAAAGGGGTTTATTTTATTCCAAAGGTATTGCTTGCTTAAGTTGACTTGTTTTTGCTCAACTTTATTCTACATAAGCTGATAAACGTTTTCTCTAGACTATTTGAAATCACAGAGTATTTAACAACATCAACTACTCATGTTCATTCAGGGATAATCAGCTGCAATTGTAACATAAATTGGCTGTTGTGGTTGTTTTGGGTTTTCATTTGTAAAAAAACACAAGAATCAGAGGCCAAGGGTACAAGAGGGAAATCATGTTCTACATGTGTTATTAAATGA